ATAAGATGTGAAGAATTAAAAACCTCTCCTTCTAATAAATACCCCAACTTTACCCATAGTTTCTAGCGTTTAGTCCTGCATAACATTACAGTCCTGCTTAATTTTCTCCAGACTGGTTACATGTTTGGCAAAGGTGTGTACTTTGCTGACATGGTGTCCAAGAGTGCAAACTACTGCCATACCTCCCAGTCAGATCCGGTGGGCCTCATTCTGCTCGGCGAGGTTGCTCTAGGAAACATGTAAGTGACGGTCTGAATGCAAAAAAATATATATTTCATCCTTTGCATTTTTTTCCTGAGTGTGTCCATCATTTCAATCTCCTTTTTAACTAATGCAGGCATGAACTGAAGAAGGCTTCTCATATTACAAAATTACCTAAGGGCAAGCACAGTGTTAAAGGTGAGAGGCATATTGGGTTGCAGCGTTTTAATTGGTGTTATTTTTCTAAGTGTTTGGTTTACATGGCAAACTTTGTGCTTAAAGCTTTGTATTTCTGTTTAGTCTGTGTCCCTAACTGTAATTTAGATCCACGCTTTTCAGCGTAGTTCTTAACAAGGTGATGAAATTCATCCCCCTTGGAAATATTTACCTTTGTCTCTGTCAGTTTTTAAAACTGCGTGTGTGTGTGTGTGTGTGTGTGTGCATATAATATTCACTTTTGGGTTTTTTTTATTACAGGTTTGGGTAGAACTGCTCCCGATCCAAATGCCACTGTCACTTTAAATGGAGTGCAAGTGCCTCTGGGAAAAGGAGTCCACACTAATATTGATGACACAAGTCTGCTGTACAACGAGTATCCTCTAATATTAGTTTGTTTGGTTATATGTGTAGTGATTTTTTTTTTTACCTGCTTGTCTGTACATAACCTGTGCAGTTAAAAAGGTGAGTAAAATTTGTTACATTTCTATCTTACAGTCACCGGCCATTTCATTAGGTGTATCTGTTCATTTGTCATTAATACAAAATCTAATGATCCGGTCACCTAGCAGCAACTCGGTGCATTTACACATCAAAGATCAAAGAGAGGTTTACAATAGGGAAGGTAAGTTAAGTCACTTTTAACATGCAGTACAAGTAAGGTATAATAAATAAAAGACCAGTGAGTTCACCCATGGAAACATAGTTTTATAGCTTTCTATCTTTTAATAGGTGAATATTGTCTAACCTACTTTTCATTGTGTAGCTCACCCAGCTGTCATGCATAAATCGACTCATTTGCACTGCTTATAGCAGTGAAGACATGAAGATGAGACAGTTGAAGGGTTGTGTTTATGTCCTAACAGGAGTCACCACAAAATAAATTGTCAGGGTATTTGTGTTTTCAGCTTAATTTGTAACTTTTTCTTTTTTGATCATCTGTACCACCTGTTTTCTTTAACCGTGCTCCCTCAGGTACATCGTGTATGATGTAGCACAGGTAAATCTGAAGTATCTTCTGAAGATCAAGTTTAACTACCAGACATCCCTGTGGTGAGAGGGGCTGCGCACGAAGCTTCTTCATAAAGAAAGGAAAAAAGACCACTGTTGCCTCCAAAATGCTTGGGCTTCATTCTCTGCAACCGAAGATGTTTAAAAAAGGAGTGATACTAAACCGTCCTTCATGGTGGATCCTTGGAAATCTCGTCACTTTATTGTGTTTTCACCAGTGGCAGACTTCCTTAGTAATACATTAGGTACCTAAATACTGGCTTCTTCACCACATTGCATACATCATTACATGGAGAGGTCTGGTGATAACTTCAGGATGTGTTGGTAATCTGTCACTGGAGAAGGATCTTATTTTCCTGTAGTTCATAAGGTATAGTCCTGCAAGTTTAGGAGTGTTCAAGAGCCAGTCTGCAAACATACACAAACCAATAATTTGCTGTGAATCCACAGTAAAGTGAAGACTAAGATACTGTAAGCATTTTGACATGTATATACTTGTTTTGTTCGCATCTCTAGCTGTCTTCCTCACTAAAAAGAAAAAAAATGTGATGAGTGTTTATGCAAGGCGCCCTATAAAAGATAAAGGCCATACTAAGTGTTTTTTTTTTTTATCTTTTTCTTGCTTCTCTCAAACCCAAATAAAACATTAGACATGAAGAAGGGTTTCTTTCAGTTTGTTGAAGAAGGCAAAAATCAAGGTCCTTTGCTAAGGAGCACTCCTGGGAATGGTATAACCTTGATGAAAAATCATTGTCAAATACTTTCCCCTAGGGATCAATAAAGTATTCTGATTCTGAAAAAGCAGGCTTTGGCTTGATTTTGGTAGGACATTTAAGCTGTAGAAGCTGTCTTGCCTCATTTCCCACTGGCACTGTAGGGTAGCAAAATAAAGAGTTAATATGCAAAAAAAAAAACAGCAAGATTTTCTGTATTTAATGGTAACAATACAAACAATATGAGCTTACTAAAGTGAAAAAAAAAAATGGAAGAAACTTACACTTTCTGTGAGATTAGAAACTCATATTTGCACAAATGATTTTTTTTTTTTTTTTAGTTTTTCATCTACTTTTTCCTCACATCTAAGAACAAAATCTCACGTGTATTTGGTTATTTACTAATTAATAGATAGATGGTACCCCATATGCTGTGTTTTATATTGCGTATAGTATAAACAAAATCTTTCTTGGTATAACTCCAGGTAAAAATAAATACATTTACTCAAGAGAGAACATTTCATTTCAAACACAACACTTTCCAAACAAAGACTAAAACGTAAAGGAGAAATGAACGATAAAATGACTGATGTGGCGTATGAAACAATGGCTGGTTGCTATGCTCCCATTCCGAGTCAAGTTTTTGATACGAAACGATTTCCCAAGGATTTAACTTCACATTTAACATGTAAAAGTTTGATGTGTAGAAAGTGGATGTATTTGTTTAGATAAACAAACTACTGGAAGCAGTTATTAAGCTACCATTTAAGCAAATTACGGGATTTTTATTTCTCAAATCGCCCTCCAGATAGAGTCCCGACCCAGAATGCATTTTGACAAGGTCTTTGAAAAAGCGGCGCGGCTAATTCAAGATGGCGGAGATGGACCAGCTGTTAGACGAGAGTGAGTAACAACACAAATTCAAGGAGTTTTGCATTGTAAACAAGCAGCAGTCCCGCGGTGGTAAAATAAATAACTGGCCAAAACCCGATATCGCTGACCATGTAATGGCTATCATAGGTTCTGCGCGGACTTCATAAGCTCATTTTAGACCCAAACAGACACCGGGTCTGTCTAAGTCAGCTAACGCTTGTTAGCGCGAGAGGCTAACCATGGCTAATGTTGGAGTTGAACAAGTTACTCTAGCCCAACTGGGTGAACAAATAACGTTAGCTTAGCCCCGAGCTAACGTCTGCTAACCTTAGATCGCATATAGCAGGAACAAAAAGGCTGCCACTACGCCACTAGCTGCTAACAAGCTATCTGTTTTGCTGGACTTATTTTCTATTTTATTGATTTATTTTAGTTTTCCATGACACTTTCCTCATTTTCAGCGTTCCTTCACCCTGGTTATAGTTAGGCGTTGTGTATCATTATTGATCTTGTGAAAGGAAACTTGCCAGTTCATTTGTCTGTTTACACCTGAAACGGTCTCTGGGAACTTACCTAATGTAAATAACGTTATTTTACAGCTCATAGCTTAGCTTGTCTGGCTTATGTGTAGATACGAATTGCCCACAGCTGATGTTACACCCGTGTCTGACAGCTCCAGTTGGGGGTAAAGGCCTAACCGAGTCCGCTAGCTTTATTTTTAATTCCTGTTCACCTGCCTGGCTCCTGTCAGTGTTTAAAGCACCATCTTACTGATTCTGTGACAGGTGAAATGAGCATTTCGTAACTTAAAAAGGAGAACACTGGCAAATAATATTTATCAAAGTTGCACCGTTTTAGATTTCGTCTATGTGGTGTTGCTTTTTTAGGCTTTTTAATGCTCTACAGTAATGTAGCCTAAATTGTTCTCTTCCTCAGGTTCCTCAGCAGAGGCACTCGTCAGTCTTAAAGGTATGGATTCCCTTGTATTTATGCTTTTTACTGTTTACAAATATACTGGGTGCTTCTGTAACGTTGACTCGAATTCCTCACTATATCGATTAGACCTGTGTCAGATCACGTTGGTCAGAGCTCTGTAATAGTTTCTAATTGCAAGCTTACATGGCATAATGGTCCTGTTATGTTTGCATGTGATTTTTGTCTGTTGGTAAAGGGTTGTTAAGATATATTTACTGATTTAGAAATTGTTTTTGGTGTTCTTGTATATAAATATGTTGGTATTCTCACAGAGGGCAGTTTGTCCAACACTCTGAATGAGAAAAACAGCTTCCCACGAGCTCACAACACCAGGGGACGGCATTCCTCTGTCACAATGGACACGGTAAGTTAATGCAATGAAAGCAATGAAAACTTCGAAAACAAAGAGAATCTGTTACACATGTTGCTTTAATTACTAATATGAAAAATATGGTATAGTGGTTAACATAGTCACCTTACTCCACAATTATGCTTCAGTGGGAAATTTGTGCCATAGCTATGTCATAACAGGAAATCCCTCTAAAACCCTATGATGAAACCCTAAGGCATGACATGACGCACACCTCCACTGAAACGGAACTAAATGTGGTGTCAGTGTAAGCCGCAGCTATTGTAATTGGCCTGTTCAGTACCATTGAGTCCTCCTGATGCATTTCCGGCTACTTTTTTGCCACGGTTTTGGAATTTATCAGTGAAAGAATACCAATCATGTCAAAGCTGCACCAGATCAAGTACTATCCACTGTGGTGACCCGTTGGGAAATAAGGGAGCAGTTCAGTGTATCTTTTCTTTCCTTTTAGCAACCAAGAAGTTAATTATTACAATGCAGTAATACAGTGTTTGATTTTTTTTTTAAAAATCACAATTATTTCTTCATAAAATGAAAAAAAAAAGAAAGTCACTTCATCTTATGTGAGAGAGCCATGGCCAAAAATGGTAATGTATATGCTGCAGATATTAATTTTCTAAAAAGTGCAGTGTCGAATTACAGCTCAGTAGAACCAAAAGAAAGCTTAAAGGAGTGGATATTTAAACAGGGTCTTTTTCATAGATGACAGTGAGCATTGTGAATATTATACAAATTAAGTGATTCTTGCTCACTATGGATATATCGTTAGTGTGTATGCATAGTTACTGCCCTTTGCTCAGCTTAGCAGCATAGTTAAGTCTTTTGCAGTTCTGTTTACATCTCAGGAGTTGATTTTCTTACCTCATTAAGTTGTTTCATGCCAGTGTTATGTGATGTGGAACTGGAAGGAAAATGCATTTCATCTCATTTTGCATGAATGGGGGTCTTTACATTTACTTAGATATTATTTCAGAGCCTGTGTATTATACATGAGAGTTCCCAGAGTAACATTTGTGTTAGCCAGGCTATTTATAACACAACATGCCAGAATTTCTACTGCTAATAGACGCCTAATATGGAGAATGCAATAATGTTATTTATAGATTGTTGGTAATATTTTGAATTTACATTGTTCTTGCAGCCTACACGGAGCTCGAAGCGGAGCCGTTTGTTTCGAGATGAAGATGAGCCACCGCAGCAGCGTCTTCCGTCCAGATCTCCACGGAGGAGCCAGAGAGTCACCACCACACCACAGGTATTGATTGCATTCTTCCTTACGATCACGTATATATTGATGTTAATACATTTTCCTTGTAATGCTCTAGTTAGCACTGTTCATATTAAACTTTAAGATAATTGTGTCACCTGTGCAGTTTACAAGGCCCAAGATTAAAAGTAAAGTAAATTGTGTGTGAAAAGTGCTCATCCACTTGGATTACTTGTGACGAGATATATTACACTTGGGTGTTTGAAAGTTTTTGTAATATAAAAGTTCAACTTTGTTTGAGGTTTGTTTTGGTCCAAAAAGTTTTCTGTTTATACCTGAGTTGTTTTTGGTATGGGTGTCTTCAAAGAGTTGAACGTCATGTCAACATTAAAATAAGATAAAATGTGAGTCCAAATTATAGCTAATAACTTAAATTTAACATAAAAATCAATCAATAGCCAAAAGAATAAGATAGAGTTTAACTTTAGATATCCATATGTGTATATGAATAAACATACGCATATACACACACAAATATATAAAATCTAAACTAGAATTTTTTAAAAAGGCTCTTTGCAGGGTAATGTGAGTTTTAAAGGTTATGCTTTCTGACCAAGTTGGTGTGCCTGAGATTGAATAAGTTCATCATATCTCTACAGCATAACATAATATGATTTGTCTAGTGTAACCCTTTCCAAAGGAGTTCTTTAAAATGCCTACCATATTGTTGTTTATGAAATGACTGTTGTTTTAATGGTTTTCTTCACAGAAATTTTCTAACATTGTGACACCAGATAAGAAGGCTTCCCAGAAAATAGGGCTGAGATTAAGAAACCTGCTGAAACTGCCCAAAGCTCACAAATGGTGCATCTATGAATGGTTTTATTCCAATATTGACAGGTAAAGTCTGATTTTTATTTATTTATTTATTTTTGTTCCCCGATGAGTACACATAAATAAATGAGAGAAAAAATAAGTTACCCACGCATAACTGGTCTTAATTCAGCTTATCACGTTAGTCAAAAGCAAATTGGTAATTATAAAACTGTTACTGTTGCTTCTCTTTCTTCCAGGCCTCTTTTCGAGGGTGACAATGAGTTCTGCCTGTGTCTTAAGGAGACTTTCCCCAACCTGAAAACAAGAAAGCTAACCAGAGTTGAGTGGGGTACAATAAGGAGGTTGATGGGGAAACCTCGACGGTACGCTGTGATTTTTACATAAGTGTTTGGAACAGTTTCCTTATGGACTTGATGTGTCAGGACAAAAAGAACTGGCATTACATTGCTGTGCTCTTTTGTCCCTTCAAGGTGTTCATCTGCATTCTTTGCTGAAGAGCGAACAGCATTGAGGCAGAAACGGCAGAAAATGCGGCTGTTGCAGCAAAGAAAACTAACTGACGTGTCAAACTGCAAAGATCTTCCTGATGAAATCCCTCTGCCTCTCATCATAGGAACCAAAGTCACCGGTAAGATGACTGAAGTGAGCGCAAGATTTTCAAATGAGCTGCAGTGTTGCAT